AGATCAGAGCTTACTTGTGTGCTGTTCGTCCTCCACAAGCTTTCAGCAGATCTGTATCTGATAGCCTAAGAGAGACAGACAGACACACATACAGTTGAGCTGGCTGAAAGCAAAACTGATCATTATTGCTTCTCAATCCCACTTACAGTACAAGAACATTTGAAAGTGCATGTTTAGTGCAGAATATTCTGCAATGATAGTACATAAATTTTAATCAAATTTGATAAAAAACTATAAGGCTTTTAAAGGAATATGTTAGGATTTTGTAATATTGGCTGCTCATACTTGGTAGTGCTGGAAAGGTCCAGTTTCTGGTCCTCATCTTCAGAAGTGCTGCTGCTGTCATCTGAATCAGAGGTCTTTTCTGGCTGCTCCTCACCTGACAGCAGCGTAGCTGACTAAGAATGGAGAAACACGACATTACAACAACTGCACAATCCAAATACTGAATCACTGCGGATTTTTTATTTCACTGATTATTTGTACCTTGACAAAACATCCATAGAGCATGGACTTGGCTTGCTGAGCCTTGCGTGGCTTCTTGTTGGAGATCAATCCATCATTGCTGTCATCTGACTTCACCACCACACCATTCTAAACCACAATGACAGCATCAGATGAGTCAACAAAACAAATATGCCCTCATTCACACAAAACCCAGTTTGCTAGAAATGATTTTTTTTTTTTGACAACTTATAATTTTTGTATTTACTTGCCAGATTTTCGTCAAATCACAGACAAGCTATGAAAAAAAAAATCTTCTTTTCTGCATTTCACCCCTGCATTTCCTAATCTAGATTTCTAATAACCTTGTGAATATTGTTGGCTCTGTGACAAATTGCTAGTTATGTTCTTTGTTTGTAAGTGGCTTTGGATAAAAGAATATGAATAAAACTGAACTGAGATAAATAGAGTCGCAAAATGTGATACATAATATTTACCAAAACAAAAACACCTACTGTAAAGAGATGATTTCTAAAATGTACTTAAATCCTCTTTATATTACTTACCTGCCCTGTTTCCACAACCAGACTGGATGAGGCTCTGTTAAAAACATGGTCCCACCAGTGGAAAGTGAACTGCTCACCTTCCTTATGGCCCATCTGAATACAAACAGCACATAATAAATACAAACATAATGTGCATAAAAGGGCTATAACAACTGGTAACTTAATATCTCAAAAGCTAGATATGTAAAAATAATTGACCTACACAGAGATACGCTATGCTTTACCTTTACCTATATTTTCCTTTTTGCCACCATTTCAAATTCATGTGTAATTATTATACATACAGGTTTTATGATCTGACATTAAGAGACTGTAAAATGTAAAAGCTACAGGGTGAACTGAACCAGTTAGAGCACCATAACTGTCCATTATGCATAACAATAAATGCTTATAAACAACCTTCATGTCCATGTTGTCAACTACCCACATGCTGTATTCAGAGAAATTATCAAAAGACAAAAAGATGTTCTCTCACTCACCCCTCTTTTATCACATTTAATTTTGACTTTAATAGCTTCTGAGATGCCGTTCTCTGATCTGCCCAGACCTTTACCTACAATACAAGTCTAAATATTAGCCATCACCAAACAGACTTGGCATGTGTCAGTCAATAGTTTACATGGATATGCCAACGATTATGCAAGAAAATTATTTATATCTATATGAAAGTTAATAAATATAGTAACACACACAGGGTTTCAGATGTATAAAACAGCCTGCACGGGTCATATTATCTGTTCTGATTTACCCTTTTCCCACCCGTGTCTCAGAAGCTGCTCCTCTGCGAATTTTAGTCCTGTACTCTTTTCTTGGACCATTTCTGCCATTTCCACAATAACTTCTCAGAATCTGCACATGGGAAGCGGTTAGTAAAACACGGATCAGGTTACTGCACATATAGCTGTTTAAAATATCTGTTAATACTAAATAAATTCTTAATCTGTCAAAGAACTGTAAATCCGATAACACATTATAAATAAATTTAGGCTCGTACTGCTATAAAAGAGGAAAATGGGCAATAATCGCTACCACGCGTTCCGCAATGGAGTAGACATGACACCGGAAAGATACGCAACTACGGAAAGCGAAAAGGTTCAGCGCTCTTAAATAACGAAACGCGCTTTTTTTTTTTGCTTTAATTATCTTATACATTTATAAAAAAATAATAGTACCCATTCACGTGAAATAGTAAATAATTATACAAACAGATAATCAGACGCAATAGATTGAAGCATAATAGACCCATAATAGATTTGTTTTTTAATAAAAAAAAAAAAATCAGTGAACAAGTATACTGTGTAATATACACACACACACACAGCCACATTTTTTTATATTCAGTCTCACACAAAACTAAGTATAAATAATATTTTTATTAATTGTCTCTCCAGATTTCCAACAATTTGTGCATCATTCACAAAACATCTGAAGCAAAATAAAAACAAAATCACCCTGATATAAAAATACTGTACACCCCTCACCCCCCCTGTTCATATTTTCACAGAATATACAATCAATCTGTTAGAAATGATGTTGGTGTGAATCTGCTGGTTAGTGCTTTACAATGAATTTTTTTTCTGCATCTTTTGACTAATCAAATACTTATTTTGTGGTCAAAGGGCTATGAAATTTGCCCACCAACAGTAATATAATAATCAGGCCCTGTCCTGAGCCATTTTTGTGCTACAATTCTTCAGTAATAACTTTTGTGTATGTTGGATTTCAGTGTTTAGCATGTGTTTGATAACACCTTCATATTTAGTTGATTTATACTTCATATGTTACAGAGAGACCTTCTGACCCTTTGTCACCATACTTAAAATACGTCTTTGGCAGGTGTTAGTGCAAGACATGGGGTTTATGTGCATGACTAGTCTCCAACTAGAAGAACTGCATCTGTGTTTTAATGCACAAAGTCAACAGTTCATATGGATGGAGAAACATCTGATCCTTTTATGACTGCAGGGCTCAGTCCTGTTCCTCATCAGTGGCAGACTGCTGCTCAGCAGCCTCGTCCTCTGAGCTGGCCTGACATGCTGACGTATGGAACAGACGCATCAGGTCCCGAAATCTCCTTGAAACCTGCAGAGACACTGATGTTAAAAAAGGCAAAGAAAAGAATGCTATAAAGCAAAAAAGATCTGTAACTTTATAATTCTGGTACCTCACTGGCTGTTTTGTTTCCGAGTTGCTCTGACACAGCCTGAAAGGTGCTTTGATTAGCTCCTTGCTGCTGACAGGCAGTAAGAATCACTCGATCTGCCTCCCTATGAACCAGATGATAAAAGAGGGCCATGTAAAAACACAAGCACCATCAGATGCTCAAAAACACATCATGATCTGTGGCTGTGCTCACCTAGTCCAGAGAATGACCCTCTCTCCACTGGGAGTGAGGGAGATGTTTTTGGCACACACAGGTGTGTCTAAGACTGGGCTCAGTGTGCTCTGCTGAGTGGCATCTCTCTCTCCTGATTCACCTGAATCGTCTTCATCCCTACTGTGCTTTTGTTCAGTTGTATGATGCATCTCCTCTTTGTTTTTCTTGTCATCTTCTTTGTTCTGTATTTTCTGCTCCTCTAGGACGGGGGAAGGGGGTCTCTCTTCTCCCTCCCATACAGGCCCATCACCTTCTGCAGATCAGGTAAAGAATTTTTTTTCAACGTTTGGAGTTTCCAGTAAACTGTCAGTACACTGTAGATATTATAATGAACACTCCTACATTTTAAAACAAATATATATTATACTATATATAATACATAAAACAGTATACTACATATTAACGTAAATATTAGCAAATTAAGTATTTGTTCAGTAATGTACACTACTATTCAAAAGTTTTGGGGATGGTAGGAATTTTTTAACAGTAAAAACAATATTGTGACATTATTACCATTTTAAATGGTACTGTTTTTTTATTTTAAATATATTTTAACATTTAGATTTATTTCTGTGATGGCAACGCTGAATTTTCAGCAGCCATTGCTCCAGTCTTCAGTGTCACATGATCCTTCAGAAATCATTCTAATATGCTGATTTGGTGCTCAATAAATATTTTTTATTATTATCAATGTTGAAAACAGTTGGGCTGCTTTTGTTTGTGAAAACCTTGATATTTTTTTTTTCAGGATTCTTTAATAAATAGAAAAAAAACAGCATTTATTTGAAATGGTAATCTTTTGTAAGATTATAAGTCTTTCCTGTCACTTTTGATCAATTTAACCCATCTTTGCTGAATAAAAGCATTCATTTCTTAGAAAAAAAAAGAATATATATAGCTGACCCCAAACCTTTGAACAGTAATGTAAATTGTTCTTAAAAATGAAGTACAAAGAAAGATTAAAAACATTTTTCAAAAATAACTTTAGGTCTCTGTAAGAATGCCTGTAGATGCTGATTTCAATTATTAAAATCCTAACTAAAAGTAACTAAAAATAAGAAATTAAAGAAATTAGGCTTTACCATCATGTGGACTGTTTGCTCCACTGCCAGTCTCATCTTTAACCTCTTTCTCTGCCTCTCCATCCTCCCCTTGTCCTCTTTCTTCTTCCTTTTCTTCCCCTCTTTCAGATTGTGCATCAGCAGACGGAAACGCAGAATCGCGACTCTTCAGTACCTTAGAGCCATTAGTGGCCTGATCACCAAAAAAAAAAAAATCAGAGTCCTCCTCAATGTGAAAAACACAATATGAGGAAACATGGTCTCCATCAAAACATCTAATAATAACTGTGGCAATTTCATATATTTCAAGGCTTTGTCATGTCAAACCACAAAACAAGCACAGCGAGCACCTTGTTGCTATTACAACGCAAACATCCCTTCCTCTTATGCCTGCGATGTTTGGCATCATGGCTGGAGTCATGACAGGGACATGAGCAATCTTTTTCAGGCCAATCACATTCCTGAAAAAAAAGCATGAGATTAACAACTAAACAAAAATGGGGAAAACAAATTCACTGGGATGAACAAAATGAAGACACCTTGTAGTTGCCATGTGTGTGCATTTCTTTCCTCCTCCTGCTTCTGCTGCTGATCTGTCGAATCTTGTGAGACTCTTCATCTTCCTCTAGATCAGGCAGAGTGACTTCCTCAAATCCTCCCCATACACCACCTCTAGAGGCCAAACTCATCCCTGCTTCTCCATCTGTCCCAGTGCCCACGTCCTCTGGCCAAACCGCCTCTTCAAACTGGCCAGGACGTGCTGGGGGTGGGCGCATCTCATCAAAAAACATCCAAAATTCTCCCTGTAGGTGTGTGTGGCCTTTAAGAAGGGTGGCCATCTGTGCTTTGAGCTGAGTTACAAAAGCAGAAATAACAGGATTTAGGAAAAGAAACTGTTTTATTAGGTACTTGCTGTGAAACTACAGACAAACGAGTGATTCAGTAATATCATTTAATGCTACATTCATGTACATTGGTTGTGTATTTCTATAGGACACTGCAGAAAACCTTTCATTTTATTCATGAATCCATCTATCTATACCTCTTCAATCCCAGCAGGACTGAGAGGACTTCCACTCTGCAGCGCTCTCACTATCTTCTGGTAATGAAATGGATTCTCCCCAAAACTGATCTCCAACTGACGCAGGAACCGACGACTCCTCTCAAAGGCTTGCTGCTCCTCAAACTGGGGATGGGACAGAATATATTAGATACAGTTTTGTTTTCTTTTTTTAGCGATAACATTGATCAAATGACTGTTATTTCCACTGTTCTCTTTTCTGTCTATAAAATGATTGCAATTACCAGTCCACACTCTAGAGCTTGCTCAGGTAAAAGGAAAGCAGCGAAGTCCTTGAGGAGCTCAGGCCAGTCTTTGAGCAGAAGTTTCAGCTGGGAGAACAGCTCTACAACACTGCGACTGTCCCCTGCCTGGTCAAACTCATAAAGTAGCCCTAAAAACTCCTCCACCTTACCAGGAATGTCTTGCAAGGCCTCACGCACCTACAACAGCAAAAGAAAGGGAAGGAAGATGAGAGAGAGGGACAATTAGTGTTTCTCTAATCGATGTAAAGGAGATGCTAGTGAGTCAAGTGGTCTGACCCTGTTGAGATAAGCCTGAGCAAAAGCCATATCTTTGCTCTCTCTCATTGGATCGTTGTCCAAGATGTGGTCATCGTACAACAGGAGCAGCTTTGAGGCATCTTTACTTCCTCGTTCCTGACGTCGACCACGCTTCAGACTACGAGGTGGTGGGCGACCACGGCCTGTAAGAGTCAATAAACTGAATCAACTGAACATTTCATATTGAAAAATTAACCAACCACAGCTGAATTCAACTTGACATCACTGAAAACAACACAATCAGATGTTAAAAGTTGTGCTGACCTCTTCCACGCCCCCCTCCTCTCCCGCTGATCTGTGGAGGGTCGTCATCGGGCAGCGCTTCTCCCTCCGGAAGCTTTCCACCTTCTCCCTCCCCTGCGTCCATCTCATCACCCTTCATCGCACCATCATCCTCATCCTCGGAGTTCTCCTCCTGCGAATTCTGGGACGCAGCGGAGTTTTGGGAGTTTGGGGAGGTGGGGGAAGTTGGGGACGTGGGCGAATTGTCCTCCTCAGAGTCTCCTTCTCTGCACAACCTCTTCTCTGATGCCAACCAGGTCAACTTCTCCATTGTCTCCTACCGAAGGGAACACAGAGGAAACAAATTAATAAAACTGTAGAAAGAAATGGATTACAATGACTCAATTTATATCTGTCTACTGAACTTATTTCAAGCATTTAAGCATAATACTTCACATCACATTTAGGAATGCATTATATATCAGTACCAAATTGGTTATATATTGATTTATTGGTATATGTTATATATTGTATATTTAATTGTGCATGCTCATTTAATCTATTTTTAGATTTCTATCTCTGCAGTCATCTAACGCTCACCTAATCTTTAAAAACACTAAATATGTAATAACACATTTAAATGTGATCTTGCAAATCTCAAAATGAATATGTATTTTCATTCTGCACATTCTAATGTTGTGATGCCTAAATACACTTGTAGCATTTAAAATGACTGATTTTAATTTTTAGGATTTTAGTTTTAATTTATTTAGACAAACCTGAAGCTCTGG